AGAGGAAGAGAGGGAGAAAATGAAAAAGAGAGGGAGAGTGCAGAGAGGGAGGTAATAAACAGGATTAGTGCTTATCTTTACAGCATTCTGTGTGTGTGTATGTGTGTGTGTGTGAGTGAGGGAGTGTTTTGCCTGAGGACAGAGTGACTGACTCCAACATTTCCTTTGCCAATGTGTCTTCATCCCCAGGTATCTCCTCTCTCTGGACACCCTTTGCTTTGTGTGTGCTGGTACTCAGTGTACTCTGTATGAGCTTGTATGTACAGTATTTATGTGAATATTTGTGTGTGTGTGTGTGTGTGGGGGGGCAATATAGTTACTATGGAGAAAGTCTGTGTAGTTTGAGGTTGTGAGTTTATGTGTATGTGTGCGCAGAAGTGAAATAAATACACACACGTATGTATTTAGTGATCCAGCAGTGAATATGTTCACTTTGTGTGTGCTATATGTGTGTTTGTGCACCCTGTTCTCATATAGTGATTGTGAACACAACAGTACAGTAGGTGTGTGTGTGTGTGTGTGCAGCTGCCTGAGGATAAAGAGTGTACTTCCTTTCCTTGTTGCCTCTGCAGTTTGGCTTCATTGTCTGAATTGCCAATAAATTGTACTAGAGTGTGTGCATGCACATTTGTGTGTTTGTTTTTTTGCCATCATAATGCTTGCCCAGCTATGTAGCACCACTGTGTGTGATAGTATTTGTTTGTGATCTCATACCTGACCAGAGCTAACTTTCTGCTACAGTGGCTCACTTTCATTGGATGGGGAAGGAGGAATACATTTAAATAATCAGGAGTTTGGGTTGGTGGCAGATATTATGCCTTGCTGCTTTTGTAAATGAGCATCTGTGTGTATGTGAATAGAGGTAAAGAGAGCGTGTGTGTTCATGTGTGAGCAAGTGCATCTGTTTTCAAAGACATCTGTGGATGTCTTGGCGGATTGTTCTTGTAGCAGTATCCCCAGCGCTACACTCTTCTTCATCAGAGGTGAACAGACAGCAAGAAAGAGAGACAAACTGTGCATGAGCTTTTGTGTTTGTGTGCATGGCTGTGTCTGCATACAAATGTGTGTAATGCTTGCGGGTGTGATGGATAGAGGGCTTTATGAGAGAGGAACAGGATAATGACCAGGTCTCCAGAGGCAGAAAGATTCCTGGAGCTATTACTGCCAGAGTTCATAATGGCCTCTGTGCTTGGCCTCTTTTACACGCTGCTTAATGGGGGATCCTACAGGCTAGTACAAGTATAACCCATCCAGAGAATACACACCACTGTGCTCTTTGGCCCCAACACTCCACACAAATACACACAAAAAACAGAGAGAGCAGCACATATGTGATTATAAGGTTTATCTTCTCTTTCGTGCACCTGCAGCTGTATGCACACAAACCTGTATACATTTTAGTGTTTATCTTTCCCTCTCTCTGTCTCTGTTTCTCTCCCTCACACACACACACACACACACACACACACACACACACACACACACACACTATACAACCTGTATAGGTCACAAAGGATGGAGGTGAGACACCCTCTGCAGAGAAACCTGAGAGTGTCTGCCTGCAATGCACAGCCAAGCCATAAATCATGTCAGGCTACGCTAGTCTCTGCAGACACATACATAAGCACACACACACACTCGTGCACATACGGACACATACAATTCTCATTCACTCCCCTTCATTTCTCTTGTGTAGGTGTGAGTACAAGAGAGAAGGATTTGGGGATTATAGAGGAGTGTGACATAGCTTCCTTCACTACTTGTTGTTTCCACAAAGACTAATCTATGCGCACGTGTGTGTATACTAACATCTTTGTCTATTAGGGTGTACATGGCCAGTTTGTGTTTATGCATGCTTGTGTGTGAGAGCATCTTTCATCACTGAATGGATCTCAGGGAAAGACTTGACAGTCTTTCCATTGAGGAAAACATCAAGGCTGTTTGGTATGACTGTGTATCTGGCATCTTAGAAAAGCAAGAGGAAGAGAGGAAAGAGAGGGGAAGACATGAAAAGTGAGTGGGAGGAGGAGGACGGGCAAGGTAGAAATCTGCACTCGGAAGTGCAAATAGATGCAAAACAGCTGTTAAATAGCTGCAAAGTGGAGCAGCTGCTTGGGAGAGGAGGAGAGAAGGATGGGGAGATGAAGGGATGGACAATCAAGACAGAAACAGAAAGAGAGAGAGAGAGAGAGACCCAGGGGAGATGTTGAAATACTACACTAAATGCAGCAGGCTCAGTGAGCTTCTAGCACAGGATGACAGGTGAACATTATCAAAGATGTTTTCTAACTTGATTCTTCACACAGTATGTTTGTGGCTTTAATAAATATCAGGGGGAATTCATATGAATTCAACACCTATATGACAGATGCACATGTGCAGTGATGCAGAGTATAAATCTGGCTTGATTCTGGCAGTTCCCTTCAGTGTGTTGTAGCATCTTTCAGCTCATTGTTTTGGTTTTACAGTCTTAGCAACCTTGTTTCCAGCTGCTTTAACAAAAAAGTTTTTATGAACCCACTGGACCTGCCCTTAACAAACAGTAGGCAAACAGTTATCAACCAGCCAGTTTATTTAGCAGCTACTGAGCCAGATATTTGTAAAGAGGGTGTGTGTGGACTAAATCAAAGCTAAAACCTGGATTGGATTTCATCTGGTGGCAATAAACATGATTCCAAATAAATGTTAGTCTGTATTAGCTGGATGTGTAAATAAACAACATTTGCTAATTAGATGTAACAACTTAAAGGTTTATGATATTTTAAGATTGTTTTCAGCTTGATTCACTGTCCCCTAGCAGAAATATTCATGTCTGAGTCTAGTTTATTATAATAATTAACACAGTCTAATCCAATAACTTCTCTTTCAGGAAGGTGAAGGTATTTGTTTTAGAGATCTGTTGGTTCAACTCATTGATCATTTTGAATTGTACGGTTATTATATGGTGTTCCTGTTATTTTGTCCACCATTTAAATCAATGGGATTAGGCTAAATAACAGGAACAGGAGTACAGTTCAACAGCAGCACAAAGTGCAAACTCCAAAATAGTCATACAATTGAATCAACACCTCTCTGAACGAGTTTGAACAAATATTGTCACCTTCATGAAGGAGGATCCTTTATAAGAAGCAGTTTTTCTGTTAAGCACAGGGGTTTGAGATCCCAACATCCAAAGGCTACAACCTATGAATCCTGTCATCAGCACTAGCTGGCACAGCTTGTTGTGTGTGTACCTTGGGCGTCACATGCTGGTTGTTCACAGGTGCATGCTGTGATGTGTCAGAGGATCACAGAAGGTCATGAGAACCAATTCTTTCCTCCTGCAGAAAAGTTGGAGGACTCCTAATGTTCACAAGTCATTATTCATGTGTCCAAGTCAAGTCTGGAGTCAAGCTGAGTCAAATTCTATTTATGTGGAGCTCAAATGTAAGTCACCAATGCAGCTTTAAGCTTAGTTAAGACAGGCTACAATTACTGTTTTGAGGTCCATTGTACCTGTCACATTTATTGGCTTTCGTTATATCAATACTAGCAGTATTAGAAGTAGTACTGAGGTATATTATTAGCAGCAGTAGTAGCAGAACAATACTGGTCAATTAAATTAGCCAGCTGCTACGCCTCTGCACAGTGTACGAAGAAATGTAACTTCCTTATAACTCTTTGATTGAAACCACACCAAATCCCGATTTGTTTTGTTAATTGTTTAAACAGGGTTATATACTGTAGCGGATCAATTGTGTACTGTCTTTTAAAGACGCCTGAGATGCGCTTTTTTTTGTACGTCATCATTGTGTAACTCTCAGTTTGTGCTCTCCAAGCTGAGAGAAGAAACGCATGTAGCAGATGATCACCCCATGTGCTGTGACTCGTTTTATTTTTCTTTGCAATTACCCAGGGGATAATTAAAGTCAACCGGTATGACAACAGTGGTCAGTGCCATTATTTCAACATATAACACAATGCAGAGTACACTAACCCCGCCGACGGCCAAGGAGTGTTGCACCCGGTAGAGCCCGTTACAAGTGCACAATGTGGCAGCAGGAGGAGCTGACTTGAACAGATCTGACTGTCTCCAGTGGACAGTAAACATGTCCGGACACTGAGGCATCAGCAGTCTGGGGCCACATCTTCCTCCTCTCCATCCCTCCATCTCTCCAGGGAGCATCAGCAGAGCAGGTGCTCGCCCTCCCCCTCCTCCTCGCCTCTCATACCCCGCCTCTCTCTTTCTCGGGATAGTGAGCGTGTTGTCTTCTCTTCCACATCTCCACATCCGTGTGTTTTGTAATGGTAGCAGAATATCGCTGCACACTGACGGGTTGTAATTCATTTACTGGAGGATGTGCAAAAATTCTGGATTCTCTTGTCTTTAGCGAGGCGGTAAGTTGTCTGTTGTTTTCCTAGCACAAGGTTGGCTTTGGACTAAATAATAAGGCCTTTCGTTTATGTAGCCTATTGCCATGTACTGTTTTTAAAGTTAACATGGGAGTGAATTCTTCAATTGTCTGAATATTGTCTGTGTGGTGACTTTATCTAATGACAGTATGGCTTTAATTAAAACAAACAAAACAAACAAAAACAACAACAACTTCCAAATCTTACATCTGTGAAGACTTCGCTTTGTCTGCAGTAGTCAACAGAAACTCATTTAACTGTGTGTGTTGGTTCTAGCCTAAAACAAACGCTGTACTGTATCTATGTGTATTTTGTCTATATCCTCACTTTGTATGATACCTTTCATTTTATTTTTTTTTTAATTAAACGGACTGTTGGAAGATGTTCAATTTTATACTAAAGCTGTTTTTGATGAACTGTGGACAATGTGACTGAATCAGTTGGCAATATGACCAGATGAACCGGCTGAACTTGGACAATGTGGTGTGAGGACAGAAGGAGCAAGCCTGGGTAGCCTGTCACTTTCAAAATAAAGCTTCATTAACATGTGCCACAATGATTTATAATGCGACCAAAGATAGTGCTGCAAAGATATCCGAGCAAAGAAATCCAAATGACCCCCACGATCCATGAACTTATCTTCATGCAGGACTCAGTGGTTTCTCTTATGTTGGAGTGAGATCCTCCACTTCCTGCTTGCTTTGGTTAGTGGTGTCTGTCTTGACGCAGCTTCAGCAGGTGAGGGTTGTGTTTGTGGTTTCTTATTGTCTTTCTTGTCAAACTTGTCGGTGATCAAACATCGCTCCTGTTTGCTTCTGGTAAATTTAGTGGTGAGGAAGGAACCCACAGTTCCCTTGTGATGGTTTGTCACCCAGCGCCCACAGGAGTAAGAGGAGTCGCTCTTTAATCCGGGACCTTTAACAGCCTCTGTATTGTTGGGCTGAGATAGATGCCGCCTGGCGCATCAGCAGCAGTCGAGCGGATCACGTCGCTTTTGTGTGTGTACACAGTCCGCAGGTGGAGTTCATCACACACACACACACACACACGCTCCATGCGCCATGTGCTGCTCCTGACCTGCCGTAGACCAGCTGCTCAGCAGGGGTTACTGAGTAAACCTCCAATCTCTTTAATTACCTCCTCCTCATATTGATATCCCACAGTGTAAACCCAGGTTGTACCTCTGATACACTGCTCACGGCTTCACTTTAACGCTGCTTTTTTAAATGTATTTATATTATGAAGACATGTAGCCTCAGTGAGTTGTTACAAATAACATTATTGAACCTGGCTTCATAATAGATTTTAACTCCTGAATTGCATTATTAGTAGAGCTGAAACGTTTGTCAATTAATTAATTGGACAGAAAATGTTAAGATCATTTATCAAACAAAAGTCCCAGCTTTTGGATTTGCAGCTTTTATCTGTTTTATATCATTCTAAATGTAACAGGCTACATGTGGATCTGGACTTGGGTTTGGACGATTGCTCTGACAAAAGATATTGAAGATGTTTAATAGACCAAACAATTCATTGATTAGTCAAGAAAATGCTTGTTGACCTTGGAAACAGCAGGTGAAACAACAGCCACCCCACAAGCTCCATGTAGTCGCTCTTCTGGAACTTGTGATCATATAACATCTTCATCAGTGGATGAGTTTGCCATGGAGTTGTTTTGGAATTATACAGTAGATGTTTAAATTTCCTTGTTTTCTTTGTGGCTGTGGCTCATGAGTTGGGCAGTCGTCTCCTGACCAGTAAGCTGGTGGTTTGACTCCTGGTCTCCCCACATGCCTAAGTGTCCCTGAGCAAGACACTGAACCCCGAATTGCTCCTGGTGGCTTGACTAGCGCCGTTGTGTGGCAGCCTGTCGTCATCAGTGTGTGAATGGTGTATCATCTCCTGTAAAGCGCTTTGGCCAGTATAACACACTGTGGAAAAACGCGCTATTTACCATGACTTTCTTGTCAACTTTGACTTAAAACCTGAGGTTAAAGGTTAACTCTGGACCTCAGAAACATCTGAGGAAGCTCTCACCACAAGGTCCATTTAGATCTATTAAAAAATCACTATCACACCAATCAACAAAAGAATCAGTAAATATCATATTGCTTTAATCCTTCTTCTACACTAACCCTATTCTTGTACAACAGGCTTTAATTTGTCTTCTGTGATATCTCAGATGTAATGTCCTCAGATGTATTCCAGGATTATTGAAAAGAAAAGGTTTAAAAAGGTTTTTTATCAGTCTTGCATAAAAATAACCCTCATAATAAGAAGGTTTTGGGTCCAGATCACAGGTATACAAACTGACCCAGAGGTGATGAGACTACATGCCTCATTGCTAATGTTTTGCATGGATAATATTTAAGGAAATAATTCATAAAATCTGTAAACTTAATTTTCTGAGTGAGAACAGCTCTGCTTTGATTTGCTGACCCGACACTACTATCATTGTTTACTACTGTGAACGCCGTTTTGCAGGTAGCACACACTGCGATTACACCATTCACTTTATACTTATCCAACACCTGCTTGACAGGCCAGTCTGTGTGCCTTCATACACCTTTGTGCAACAAGCGTATGTCGGCGTGCGCTCTCTCCCCTCGTGTTTGTTTAAATGGTTGAGGTCTAGCTGCCGCGGTGTCAGCACCTGGTGCACTGAGGTGGCCCCGGGCCAGAAGAGGAGGAACTGTAGTTGTCAGCTGTCTGACACAGCCTTCTGTATACACCTCTACCAACACACACACAGCAAATAAAAGCTGCAGGCAGGAGTTAGATGTGTCCAGACCCTGAAACAAACTGAGAGGGAGTGAGATTGGTTTGCCTCAGATTGTTTTATCTTTTTGTATTATCTCTGTATCAGAGAGAGGCAAGACTGGGCCACGCACTGCAGAAAAGATCGATGACATAGAGGGGAAAGCAGAGATGTAGCCAACGTGATGGGAGAAGCTGTGGAGTGAGCGGTAGGAGACTGACAAAGAGATAGTGAGGAGGTAATGACAAGGCATAGAAATGGTAACACAGACAGGGGTCCCAAAACATGTGCTATTCATATCTTCTTTCTTCATCTAATAGTCAAATACACTGATCAGAGAAATGGAGAAGGGGTCACTGAGAGAGGGACTGTGCCCTGCAAGTGGAAGTGAAGGTCTGAGGTAAAGGCAGACGAGAAGAAGAGCTTTTCTGATGTGGACATCCGGTCGTTGCTGACAGGCCGTGTTTCTGCTCTGAGCTGTTTGCTGTGATAATTTATAGACCTTTCACTAACATCTCGACTCTGTTATGATTGCACAGTAAACATGGCTCTTCTCTTCCAAACATACCCTTTAATTTACAACAGGGTAATAGCTGCTTCTCATACTTTCTCCGTTGTTTTGTTTTCTTCCTGTGTGCTATTCATTCTGTGTTCCAGAGTGTCTTTGGATGTGCTTTTCTTTGTTGGAGGTGTTGCTATTACAGTATATGTGGTTTATCTGCTCTGTTTATTCCAGGACCATAAATGCATGCTGGCTGTTTGCTCCCTGGGGGCCACATGCATACAGTTTGTGATGCACAGTGCCTCAATCATGAGTCAGCTAATTGTGTACTGTATGTACCCGTCTTTGTGTTCATTTCCATACTGGAGACACCCTTTATATGTGCATTGTGTTTATGTTGAGCTCATTGCTCTGTCTTATGACGTTTTTCGGTTTATGTTAGTTTGCCTGCTTATTGCTGTGTTCATAACTGAAAGATGCAGGGAGGGTAGAGGGAGTTTGTTGTTTATGGATTGTAGGGAAGTGTTAAGTGTTTCTCTTTGAGCTGCAGAGTGACTGGAGCTAGTAAAGTCATTTAGCAGCCCCTGGAGTAACCCCGGAGACTGCTGCGTTGACGCCGCTCTGACTGCTATTACAGTCAAGTTTAAGAGGCCGTAAAACATTTGGCTACTTCTTCTCTCCCTCTCTTTCTCTCGCTCACTCTATCTCTCTCTTTTTCTGTGTGTGTGCTTGTCATAGGAATTTGAAAAAGTCTGCCAGCTACTGTAACAGCAACAGTAGCTGTTGTTGCAATTAGCATCAGCTGTAGGAGGCAAAATAATAGTGTTTTACAACTTAAGCAGAGCACATTTCTGTTGAGACTGCACATGTGTGTGTGCTCATTATTGGTGTAATGTTTTATAACAGTTCATGAAGACAAATGAGGATAGTCAGTTTAAAGTGTCAACATAGCAGATGCAGGAACACAGACATGAAAATGTGATGAGGGTTAATGACTAGGTGGTGTGTTACAACCTCTTCTTCCACCCTAATGACCCATCCCTGCTCAAACACACACACACACACACACGTACAGACATTGTGCTTTTTTTAATGAGCTGACAGGGCAGAGCAGGTCCCCCTTGTTTGTCTGTTTGTGTGTGTGTGTGTGTAAAAGAGAGAGAGAAGGTGAAAGACATAAAAAAAAGGTGTTAAAGACACAGGTCTCAACATGCCCTATATCACTTACATCATGCTGAACACAGTGCGATTGTGAATGTAGGTGTGTGTTTGTGTACGGATGAACGGAGTCACACTGAGATGTAATTTACATTTTGGCAAAGCTGAGGGTAGTTTAACTCGTTCGTGATGTTGGCTTATTTTTAGGTTCAGAAGTGACAGTTGGTTGATGAATCACCGTTCAATGGCTTTGGTGATCCCTGACCTTGTGTGAACAACAGGCCAAACTTTACTCTAAACCTCAGTAGTTTTCATCCAGCCAACAATTTTCGGCTGTCGAGTGTTACAGCCTCATGGGTCAGCTGTTAGAAGTGTTTACTCATTCAGGCAGCACTTTTAAAAGGATTAGTAAAGGGAGTTAAATGTCTTAATTTGTATTTAAGGGGTATGTGTGTCATATTCTCTGCCCCCCTGCTGTCAGAGGTCAGAGGTGAGGGGTGAAAGGTCACTGTCAGAACACCTCCCCCTCAACTCACCTTGTCCCCAAAGCAGACAGTGCTGACTAGCAAAGAGACAGAGTGATGGATGGAGGGTTAACATTACTCTGTGCCACACACACACGCACAGAGTCAAACCCTACCCCACCCTCCTCGTCAACACCCTAAACCCTCCTCCTCTTCCTCCTACTCACATCCCCCCAGCCTCCAGCACTATCACTACTGCCCCTCCACCCTCCCAGGAGTGTAGGAGTGTGAGTCAAAGGGAGGAAGGAGTAAGAATGATGAAAGAAAAGAAAACGACGGAGAGCGCAGTTTGCAAAAGAGGGAAGGGACGGTAAGGAGAGAAAATGGAGAGATAAAAGTGGCTGGGAAGAGAGACAAGAGGAGGAGGGGGTGATAGATATGGAGGAAGGGGAAGGAGAAGGAACAGAGGGGTGGTGGATGGAGAGGAGGAGGTGGGGTGGGGGGAATGGATAGAAAAGAGGTCACGTGACCGCGTAGCAGCTGCAAGGCTGAGAAGGAGAGAGAGAAAGAGGCTGGCAGAGGAGCAGAAAGACGACGAGCAGGAGGACAGTGAGCGGGAGGGTGAGTGTGTCTGTTTGCATGTTTGAATTATGTGCGCATGCATATGTTAGTATGTGTGTGTTTTGTGTGTGCGTGAATGACAGATAAATATCAGAGGAATTGCCTGTGAGAAAAGATTGTAGAAAGAAGGGAGAAAGAAAGAAAGCAAGAAGCAGAGAGGAGATTATATGTGTTGGCTTTTGTTTAATAAGCTCCAGTATGCTGAGATAAACAAGGGAGAGAAGATAGATGGGAAGGAAAGAGTCGGTGAGTAGAAAGGAGGGAGAGAAGGAGTCAATAGAAACTGTCTTATCATCTCTCCCTTGACTGCTGGGCTCAGCAGAGACAGAGACAGACACACACACAGACACACACAGC